TGGGATCCTAGGACTGCATTTTCCTCCCTCCACGCAAGGGTCCTGGGAATGGAGGTGAGCCCCAACCCCAGTGTCTTGGAGTCCAAAGAGAAAGCTCTCTGACCAGTGGAGAATTCGAACACAGCTGGAAGCCTATTGGGCTGATGCTCTGTTCCCGCTGCAGAGGGAAGTTGGCCAGGAGGCTCCGGGTCAGTGGGCACCAGGGTGACATGTTGCAGAGAGCATAGTCTGTGCTTACCCAGCACTAGCCCCGCATGTGTGCCGACACAGCTTTGGCCCACAGACTTCTAAAAGCTTGAGTGCTACACGGCTGTGTGAAGTTGGGCCAGCTCAACCTGACTGCCCTGAATCGAGGTGCCCAGTCCTGGCTCCAACCAGCCTCATCAGGCCCTGCCCTGAACAGCAGTAAATAACAGGCCAGTGCCTACAACTCCAGCCCCAGGTTCTCCTGCCCTGCAGACACATTCCTGGCCTCCTGGGTGGGTGTCAAAGAAAAGAAACGCACAGATTCTTTAGTGCTCTCAGGAGGTAGGCCACATCCCCCGCCCCCACCCCCCTCCAAGCTCCTGGATGCCTGATCCCAGTTTGAGAACCCAGAATCAAAATGTGAGGCCAAGCTCTATAAATTTAACACAAGGAAAGAGTCAAATCACTATTCAGGGATACACACACACAAATGTTTGTTAGGGTGCTATTTGTAAGAGTGAAATTGTCAAAATAGGCCACATGTCCAATATCACCGGATTAAGTCAATCTTGACTATTATAGCCATATAATAAAAAGGCTTTAAAAATGAGGATATGGATTTCTATTTACTGCTACAAAAAGGTGCCTGACATATTGTTGAATCAAAATAACACACCGCTATATTTTACACGTGGCATGAGCGTATGTGTGTACGCTTGTGTGCATACTTTATGTATGCGCATAAGAAAAAACCTGGAAAGAGACACTTAAAATGGTTATCTCTGGGAATATGATTATAAGTCATTTACATAATTTTAGGTACTATCTATAAAATCTTTTTTTTTTAAGAGATTTTTGCCATAGGGCACATGTGCTCACCAGAGACAAAGAGAGGGAAAGTGAGAAATCACCCCTCAGGGGGATGGCCATGCTGAAATCCCTTCTCTCTTCTCCTTTTGGGATTTTGGGCACACATGCACACACTCCTGGAATTTCAAGCCACCGATCTAGGACCTGAACTGAAGTTGGCCATGTGAAAATCCAGTGCCTTTAACTACAGTGCCTGTTGGGCCCTAAAAAAGTCTTTTTACAAGGAACAAATAACATTTTAATAATTGAAGATATGTTTTAATTTTTTAAAAAGTTAAATGATAAAACTTAAATTTGTTAAATTACAAAAGAGGAATTACGGTTTTTGAGGCGCTGTGAAGATCACCTCAATGCTGGCCACGCCTTATCTAACTTCCTGGGGGAGCCTAAGACCCAGGCACGTGAAGACCGTGATTCTCTTAGGTTAACTCCAGGGGATTGAGACCAAGATGGCTTAGCTAAGCCCCAGCCACCAATGACACATACCAGTGGTAAACACCTCAGGGACCCAAAGAGGTACCAAAGACATTTTCCTTCCTTTCCCCAGACACTTAGCATGAGAAAAGACGGCTGGCTGTGGCCACATCAGAAGTCCTACTTATTTCCAGGTGAGCTGAGTGGAGACCTACCTCGCGCCGCCCGTCTCTGGCAAGTTCTGGATTAGTCCCCAGGATGTAAAAACCTCGATGACCACCGACACTTAACAAAGCATGAGCATCACCAGGAAGCCAGATGGTCTGGAAAGAGAGGGGAAAATAGGGAGGTTGGGGAGGAGAAAAGACTTTTTTTTTTTTGCAAAAAGATCCATTTTGAATTCCAGAATTTTAGAAGCCCCCCCACCCCCCACCCTAAATCAATGCCAGTCTCTGCCTTGGATGTTGCAGATGCACCCAGCATCTTGGTGGTCTATCACGGAAGGTGTCTGGCCTTCCCTTGACCAGAGAAAGGTCAGGGGCCCCAGTTATATCAGACATCATTCCCTGTACTAGGAACTGTGAACCAACGCTCCAAGCACTAAAGCTCGAGCTACAGCGGAGGTGCCCTGACAATGGCACTCAGGACTGTCCATTGGCTCCTGCTGCCCCCACAACCCCACATCCCCTCAGGGCAAGTTGGTCTGGCCATGCATGGTAGAGTACCAGACGGCAGTGCTGAAAACAACATGGCTGACCACTCGTTTGGAGACCCGGCATGGTCAACCTGAAACTTGCAGGTATGAGCATGCATGCTGGAGATCTTCAGGAGCTTCAGGAGCTGGAGGACTGGAGGAAGGGCTTCACAGCCCAGCCAGACCTCCTGTGGACTATCTCACACAGGGTGTGTCCAAACTCTGCCATGCACACTCAGGTAATGGGGCCAAATGGGTGGCAGAAAACCAGATCCCTTCCCCTTTCACCACCATTCTGCTATTAACACTGAATAAAAGCAAGAACAATAGCATTGTCTTCCACTTAATCTGAATGAAGCGACCCCAGCCAGAGATAGGAAAAGTAAGTGTAAGTCTTTAATCTAATGCCGAAAAGGACACAAACTCCAGAATTACAAAAATAAATCATTACTTCTTTTAGACAATGGGCAAAAGACCTTGAGGAGGCAAAGGATGGGTACCCTGGGGGAATTCCTTTAAAAATATATAGATTTAATACCTAGTAGAAAGAAGCTATCTATTATGGGGAGGCAGGGCTATGCTGACTTTCCTCCTTCAAATGTAATATATGAGAAAGCCATCTTCGCGACGGGAAATGGCATCCTCTACTGCAGAAGCACACGACTGTCATTACCTGGGAATCAATATATTTTTTAAGCTGAATATATCATTATCAATTGATTTTCCTTTTTCCTCTTAGCACTCCAGAATCCTGAGTAGCAGGGGAAAGCTTTAATGTGATATGAAGGATTTGGACAAGTAAATAAGTTATTGTAAACGAATTCCACCTTACGGCCAGTTTCTCTCCGACAACGCCACGGGTCTTTCTCAGATCCTCTCAACCTAAGCTTTTTCAGCTACCTCTGACAGGGACACACGTGAGCCATATCAAATAGCCATTTTAAAGCTGAAGGTGGCAAAAAATATTATTTTCCCCAAGGATAGACTATTCCTTTTACGATTAAGAAATAACCTCTGTGGAGAAGCAAAGTAAGCCAAGGTCACCATTTAATTCTGACACAGAGCCCAGGTCGTGAGTACATTTCCTCTACCGAGCCGATGTGAAGCACGCAGCGGTATCGATCACTTTGGCCACAAGGTATTGGCAATACCGGTGATACTGAGATCAATGAGCTTCTGGGAAAGGTTCTCGGCAGAGATGTGTTGATAGAGAGAGGTCTGGGAGGTGGCAACCAAACCATGTTTAGGTTCTTGAGAATCTCATTCATGCAATCATTTAATAAGCATGAACTGAGTGCCTGTTCTGTGTCAGGCTGTGTTCTAGGCCCTGGGAATACATGAGTAAACAGAAAAATATCCCTCTCCTCGTAAAGCTCATGTTCTAGAGGGTACAAACATCTAGAAAGTGATAACCTTAAGAAGTGACTGAGAGAGAACTGGATGCTATATGAGACGGTAGTAAGAGAGGGTGAGGGAAAGGGGAAGCGTATTAGGGCCCTAGCACGCAGTTTGAGTCCGGTGGGCAGGATCAGCCTCACAAGGACTTGACATTGGAGTCTGTACTCGAAGGAGAGGCAGACTGGGTCATGCACGAATCTGGAGCAGCGTGTTCTAGGCAGAGGGGAGAGCCCATGTAAACACCCTACCCTGGGCAGGGCATGATTGATGCGTTCCAAGATCTGCAAGGAGGCCATGGTGGCTATATGTGGAGATTCTAGTAGGAGAAACCAGAGGGGTGAGTCCCCAGACTGTGGAGGACCGTGCAGGCCACTAAAAAGGCTACTAATGGACAGCCCAAAGATCCTGGCCACCAAGTCCTAGAAGGCACGCTCAGTCTCTGAGACGAACTCTGGCCTGTTGCATCCCAGGTTGCAACCAGGTTGTGCTGAAGGAATGCAGCTCGGGCCAGACAGCAGCGGTGACGGACAGGAGTGGGAAGGAGACACAGGGCTGTCCATGACCTATCCCGATGACAATGGCCTTGCTCTTCCTACTCTATGGTCCCCTGAGGCCACTTCCAGAAAAAAGAACAGAAACGGTTTTGGACAAAAATTAACTGTGTGCCAAGCTGAGTTCTTGTGGGACTTTTCCTTACTGTGCCAATGCAAAGATCCTGACGTGAACTGATGCATTATCCACGGAGCCCCCTACGTTTGCCTTATGTTTGTTCCTGCAGGTCTGCCTCCCACCCTCTCTGCCCTGCGCTGTGCCTGGGAGACTCACACGGCCCATATGGACCCTCTATACCCCCTGTTCCCACCCCTAGCCCCCCATGTCTTCATGGCTGCCATGTCCCATGACCTTAGCTAAAGGTCACAATTCTAGCTGGGGGAGAGTGGCTTTCTCTCGGGGCTGCAGTAATAGCTCCCTCCCCTTGCCTCCTTAGGTTGAAAGGAAGTAATTCTCCCCACTTTGGGTCCAGCACTATTGTGGTACCCATACCTTCCTGAATAGTCCTTCTATTGAACTCTCTTCGAATGACATATTTGAATGCATCTATGTCCCTTCATGACCCCAACCGATACATCCACAGAAGCTTAAAGCAGAACTTTGGAATCAGGCAGATCTGAAGTAGATCTGGTTCCCATTCTTAAAACTAAAGGACCTGTTACATAAATTCTCCTCCTCTTTCTCCTCGTCTTCTTCCTCCCCATCAGCATCACCATCCCGTTATTGCCCAGCACCCACTCAGAGTCCCCCAGGAAGTAGTACCTACTTCATGGCATTGGTGCCCATCCTAACCAGAAACTCCTTCCATGAGAGAGTTTCTCTGCTTTGGCATTAATTTATGTCTCAGTGATTTTATTTGTTCACATCTTCCGTTTCTTGCTTTATTTTTTTCCCACTCGACGTCCATTCCTTGTAGTGAGATCCTGGGCTTCCTGACAGTAAACATTATCTTAATCAATCTCTGGTCCATAGCGCCCATCACATGGGGTAGACTAATAGTTCCATGACTCATTATCTTTCTTCTTAGGAGGCCTACAAGTTACATCCATGCATCAAAACACATTCTACTCTAATGAGATGTATGGCATTTAAAGTGATTTTAAATGACTAGAAACTGATTTCTAATAATAATTTTGTTCCCAAGCTCACGTAGTAAAAATCCTAAATTTTCAGATTATGGTCTGGGAAAATGAATCTCAGGAATGAAGCCAAGAACGAATTGAGAGACAGGTATGGTGTTCTATCTTCAGGCGAGATGAAGACTGTCTCAGGACTTGATTTTTGACATCCCTGGTCAAAGTGACCTCTTCCTTTCTACTGCTTTCATCATCACT